AGAAAAACCTTTATAACATATTTAACTAAACATAATTGAAAACTATTTGTAAATCGTCAATGATCTAATTCACTTTTTCGCAATCAACCCTAAACCATTGAATATCTTATTAAGCCGACATTGACAAATTTTTTTGAGGATTGAAAATAACATGCTTAATTTTGATAGCAATAAAACTTTTCATATCGTAGTAATAATATGACAAAAATATACAAAAATTGCCCTTTTTGCAATTTTAAACATAAATTTCTCAAAATTATGACGTGATAGAACATTTGGAAACTTCGTATACAGCGTAAAAAACCTACGGGAACTGACTAGTCTCGTTCTATTTTTTTTTATCGAATAGTGTAAAATCACACATCTCGAAAATGCTCTCCGAAGAGTTTTCGAACTCTTTCGAAGGATTGTCCATTCAAACGGACGACATATCCATATAATAATTTCCACGCTCGTTTCTTCATAAGTTTAAGATAAAACGTTATTCCCCCACCGATTGTTTAGCCGTTCCCCACTTTCGCAAACATTGTGTGGTTACCATCGCGAAATGTTATTACCTTCAAAGAGACAGTAAGTACTTGCTGCTTTTGCGAGTTGGAAGCAGGCAGGTGCACGTAAGGTCCAGCGGATATCCGGCGATGATGGTGGCGGTGGCAACGATGATGGCAGCGGCAATTCATTAATTCGCTTATCAGCGATCGTGTAGAGCAAAAAGTGTAGCATGCGGCTCGTGGCTCACGCGTGCGAAATCGGGTTTTACGACGTTTAAAAGGCCGCACGCTCGTATTCGTGACAGACGTCAGGCTTGAGCGCTCTGATTTAAGGTAATAAAATATGTAGATACTGTCCAGAAGGTTATGCGCGTGGAAAACGTTTTCTCGCTCCAAGACTGTAATAAAAGCGAAAATCGTAAACGTCGCCTTTGTAAATTGTTTCTCGAAACGCGAGTGCACACGTTATCCGAAGAAAAGAAAAAAAAACAATTATATGTAAATCTATAGTTAACGACGTTATCAGCTACATATACACCAAAGTATTTGCACATGAATAGAAATGCTAAACATTGTAATAACTGTATATATGCGCATGTTGAGAAAATTGACCTCTACAAGTACAAGACACGGGATTAAGTATGTTATCGGACTTTGAATTTTCACGATGATTATTGTTGTGTTTATTAATACTCATGCTTATTAATACTTTTGATAATGTTCACGATAATTATTATATAATATAATTGTTATGTTTATTAATGCTTCCACAACAAGTAAAGTATTTCTAAGTACAAATACTTTTAAAAACGTAATGAGATTAATGATAAAAACAAGTCAAGTTGATGGCAGCTTAAGTTCTATTTTTATCTTATGCATATCGTGTGTGTGTGTGTGTGTGTGTGTGTGTGTGTGTGTGTCATTTAAAAAATTAATTTCATAATAAATTTAATTTTCAAAATATTGAAGACTGTGTAATATGCTCCACAAAAAAAAAAGAAAATACTCAAAACGCTCAAAATTGCACAATTTTCAGATAATCATAATCACTCGGTAAAAAATTATTGCATAAAAATGCATGTCATTTTTTATTTAAAAAGTAATTTAAGTAAATTTTTAAGTATAAAGATTTAAGATATAATCAATTCCAAATATTAATTAAAAGATTATGTATGTCACATGTATAATAGTACGATAGTGTGCATATAATAGTAATGTTTTGTTTAATGTCGGTGATTGCGAAATGTTTGACGTTATCAATTCGACATATCATTTCTAATACCATTCCACAATACACGAATAGATAATTTTTTAAGTAATATTAGATTAATTATATGACTAAAATATTTTATTATTTATTATATTTTAAATAACTTAAAATAAGTAAAAAGGAAAAAGGGCTACGAGCCTAAAACATAAATTGACAAACTGTATGAGTAGTTAAAGAAGTTTTTTGAAATAAAACTATGTCATAAATTAAAAACGTAAAATATAATTTGACAATCAGAAGGTGAACAAACGTTTCGATCCTAGTTGGATCATTTTCAATGTGACAAATAAATTAGTGTGACAAAGTAAATTAACAACGGTAATTAACAATAGAGTTATAACGTAGATAAAAAACATAAGAGATCAAGTAAAATTCGCATTCGGACGCAAATTAACTATAAAACTCGCTCCAAATTGAGAGGAAATCAAACAAACGATTATAGTTGACAAAAATGTGCTCCTCCGAACCGTATGTGTGTATAAGGACGAACATGTTTGTCTGTTAGCAAGTATAAATTGTAATAATAAATTAACGGTAGAAGTAAATAAAAATAAAAATAATAACAATAATAAGAAAAGTACGAATCGAGTCGCAAACAGTAAAAAGGAAAGTACAAATAAGTCGTAAATAATAAGTCAAATTTAAAGAAAGAGGCAAAAATTATCTTTGATATTTCCATTTGCTTGTTTTATAATATCAAAGATAATTTTTGCCTCTTTCTTTAAATTTGACTTATTATTTACGACTTATTTGTACTTTCCTTTTTACTGTTTGCGACTCGATTCGTACTTTTCTTATTATTCTTATTATTTTTATTTTTATTTACTTCTACCGTTAATTTATTATTACAATTTATACTTGCTAACAGAAACATATTCGTCCTTATACACACATACGGTTCGGAGGAGCACATTTTTGTCAACTATAATCGTTTGTTTGATTTCCTCTCAATTTGGAGCGAGTTTTATAGTTAATTTGCGTCCGAATGCGAATTTTACTTGATCTCTTATGTTTTTTATCTACGTTATAACTCTATTGTTAATTACCGTTGTTAATTTACTTTGTCACACTAATTTATTTGTCACATTGAAAATGATCCAACTAGGATCGAAACGTTTGTTCACCTTCTGATTGTCAAATTATATTTTACGTTTTTAATTTATGACATAGTTTTATTTCAAAAAAACTTCTTTAACTATTCATACAGTTTGTCAATTTATGTTTTAGGCTCGTAGGCCTTTTTCCTTTTCCTTATTTTGATTTATTGAGCCTTATTATTTTATAATTTAATTAAATAACTTAAATATTGTATTATTTGTCTTACATTATTTATCTTATATTTAACACGATGTTATGAGAAAGAACATGGCACGTACTTTTATTACTTTATTTTTCACGAATTTTCGTGTTGAAATTTTATTATCAGATTTTGAAATATTCTGTGTGCGCGTGTGTGTGTGTGTGTGTGTGTGTGTAATTATAAATAATAATTTCGATATTACATAATTGTTAATATTATTTGCTAATAAGATGCACTATATATCTTTGCATAAATATAGAATTGTCCCATCATTCGAGTATTCGCATCTCCTAATATTTCATTGTAATATCGCATTTAGAATCCGTGAGAAATCGCGTGACAGCTCGACTATCACGTGGAAGATCCTCCGTTCGCAAATTAAAAGGATATAAAGAGAAAAAGAATCGTAGAACTAATGGCTCATTCTGTTGTTCCATTCGTGTGCCGTGCATTCTAAAGGCAAAGTACGTAAATCTCCTCAACGTCCTTGAGATTAACTTGGACTATTTGGTTCACGGTAACTTTCTCAAGTCACCTCGCGCGAGTAATGATCAGAATATCAAAACACGCTCCATTAATTTATTAACATTGTCTAGTTTCTCGTAAACCTCGTTTTCACGGAAACAATGCCTGTCTCGCGTAAATCGCGAGAATGGATAAACTTCACTGAAGACTTTCGCGAGCGGCGTGCGTTTAATGCAACATCAGAATGGTATCGTAAAACCGAATACGTGCCGGTAGTTACTCCCTTTGTGCATTTCACCGCTCGATATGGTTAAAACAGTATCTCGTGACGCAATGGGATAAACTGCACAATTGTTTTAGCTATCTGGCACAATTGGAAGATTACTTTATCTAGTTCGGCGTTCCGATTTTCTTTTCGGTTTCTCTCTTTCGAGCGCATCGGTTTTCCAGTTTCCGGTACCGTTGGGAAATCAATAGCCACGTGCCATACATAGAAGTTAACCGCGTGCTTGCGAGAGGTCAGCACGCAGCCTTGGGAAAGCATTGAAATTTCTTCTGGTATTTTTCAAACATTTTACAATTATCTGTTTATTAAACACGATATTTCGCAATTTTTTGTAAAAAAAAAATGCGGCCTTGCGAAAATATAATCGAAAACGCGAGTTGTGAATTCCTCTGTGAATTTCCATATTAAAACATACGGTTAAAATTACCTGATGACAGAAATCTCTGTAAAACAAAGATTTATTGTGCGTATGTTCAATATATACACACAGTGTGTTTGCAAAAATATTTTTTTTTTTATGATAACATTCTCACGCAGGTTCACGTTGTAATCGTACATGTAATCGTTTGCATACACGCAATGATTTAATGCTGTAAATCAAAAAGTCGAGAACGGATTCGGCGAGATTCCATACAAAGCGATTATCCAATCCGTGCCTTATCATTCCGTGTTGTACGCGTAATACTTCATATTGAGCACAGCTTTGCACTTCCTTTTTCGGTTCTTCAATAATTATTACGCTCCGATAATCCTGTTTCTAATACGTCATACTTTTTGCGTTATTTGCCGCTGGGCCGCTAACTTCCAGCACCTGCAACATCGTCGTTATATGCATGCGTTGTTTATATACCGCCGGGATAGCTCCGGCTACTCGGTGGAGAAGTCGTTTCCGAGGGCAGTTCCTCTCTCTTTCATTCTCTCCTTTCCTCCCCTCCCCCTCCCTCCCCTCTCTCTCTTTCTCTCCCGGTACTTTTTACGGGAAAAAGCTTTCTGTAGCCGCCTTCGCGCGGCGAACTGATCTCGTTTCTTTATGTAATGCCCGCCCAAGTCCGACGCGCGCGACTGGCATCATTTTTCATTCGCGATGTTCCCAGGAAACTTGAAACATAAAGCGCCAGGTTGAACTTTCGATCGGCCGCCGCGGCGGCGATTCCCGGCAAGTAGTATAAATTCCGAATATGATTGCAGCTTACGAGACGTAAAAGACGAAAGCATGCAGCTGTGTTGCTCAAGGAAGGACGAGGCTGACTCGCGGTCGGGACTGGAAAATGGTACGAATGATATCCACACGTTGACGTAATCGTAAAATGGAAATGCAACGCGTCGGAATCTCTGCGTCGGAAAAATAATCTTAAACTGAGAAAAATTCCATGTAATAAAAGTGCGCTACAATAAAACGTGCACGAGAAATATAAAAGTATTAGAAATGTCTTAAATATATCTTTCAATTTATAATAATTAAAAAAAAAAACAAAACGAAAGCGAGAGTTTAGTTTACAATAGTTTGCATATCAAGTAATATTATATTAATTTATACATATGTATATAAAATATCTTGAAAGGAAAGTTTTATTTTTTTGAACTATAATATAATATTCGAAGGTATATATTTAAGACATTTCTAATTATAAATATACATAATTAGTAGTAGTTTATACGGTATTTACAAAATTTTATTTTCAAAATTACTTCTTTCTATATAACGTAATGATTCAAATAAAGTGTATTAATTTATAGAATTAACTAACATTTTCTCGCGCGAATTTTGACTTAATGCAAAAATCTTACTTTTTATTGTCAAAGGAATTTGCATGAATTAGTGATAAATGTTGCCTGGTTTTATCTTACGTAACACAGGCAAATTGTATGAAGTCTTATGCACACAGCCAGTCGTTTGAAGAGATGATTAAGATGGGCTTATATTTCCAGCCGGATTATTCTTCCAGTTAGCGTTGTTTAAGTATCACTGCTTAACAGTAGTATTAAATTACTAAGTATATATGTATATACATGTATAGTAGATGCTAGCTTGTTAAATAGATGTTGGAGATTACGCTGTAATTGTGCGTCGACTCTAGATATCCGATTATTCAATATTACATAACTTAGATGTTTAAGTATGCCGTGTAATTATTTATTTATGTTGTATGTAGTAAGGAGGATATAATGGAAAATATAATTGAAAAATCTGTTTTTCGCGTCTTTTCAACAAGCCTTTTATGATATATAAATATGTGTTTTAGTTGATTTATTAATACTTTAAAGTTTAAAATAGTGATCTATATGAGTTAATATATAATAATATAACATGATTCTTCCTGTTATGACCCTTAATCAAGAAATGCAGATTATCGATCAAAAATCTTTACTTATTTATTTTCAATAAGCCTCGTATGATAAATAAATTTGTTTATTAGTTGAATATTTCGAAATAATATTATTTAATGACATGTGACTTTTCTTCCTATAATATCTTAATCGAAAAGCACAGATCATATAATCGTGTTTTTATTCATTTTTATAGGAGATATGAACGATCCATTAGCAGGGAACGATATAGAAAAATTTGGATTTTACCAGATCGTGACATTCACATTTCTCAGTATACCGTTGATACTATCGGCAGGATTTACGCTTTCTTATGTATTTACTGCGGGCGAGATTAAATATAGGTATGCGTATGTATATCTTTGCTAATTGTTTAAACTTTCACGTATGTATATGCAGTTAAAATATACATAATTCAAACATATTTGCAAAACACGATGTCGGATTTTAACATATTTAAAATATATAAATGTTTTAAATTTATTAAAATACAATGTTGAACTTTAAATTGAGTGTGGGAAATTAAGGAAATAAAAGCAATTGTTTAAATGCAGATGTTTAGTGCCGGAATGCGAGCATTCAGGGAACACGACGTTTGAACCGCCGTGGGTCAATGCTTCTGCACCGAAAATTGACGGGATCATTTCTGGTTGCACGCGTTACACGGTGCGAGATGATCGACCGGGAATATGCACGGAAACATCGTTCACCAACGTCACTTGCGATTGTGATTCTTGGATTTACGATCCAGAGGAGCATACGATACTCAACGAGGTAATGTGGCTCTCAGTAATCAGCGCGTATTTTTCACTCGTCGAAATTTAGACCTGACAGATTAATTTCCTTTTTCCTTTTCCTTTGCTTATTTCGACGCAGTGGGACTTTACCTGCGACGCTAATCGATGGAAACTCACAATGGTGGGCACAATGCAGAATATCGGTCAGTTCGCCGGCTTGATGTTCGCTGGATACATATCTGACAGGTGAGAGATCAGCACAATATCCCCGGGACTTTAATTAATTAACTACGTACAAAATATTGCGCAACATTCGTCGCGGATGTCGACGAGGTCGTTTTCATTTTATTTATTATCTTCATGTTGCCAAAAAAAAAAAAAAAAATTATAATTACATTAAAAAACATAATTCTCTAAATTTCATTATATCATATGACGGGTAATTTAATTAGCTATTACGTAATAATATTTAGGATTTTATGTATATTAAATTAGCTATTCGTATGACATTGTATATGTCGTATGACTTATAAAAGATGACATACGTAATGGGTGGATACGGTGGCATACATGATAAATTTAAGTTGCGCTATTTTTCCTCTATTTAAAAGGTTTAAAAATACATTGTTTTTCTACATTTTTCCTCCAATTCTAGAAGATCTAAAAATACATTATTTTTCTACATTATTTTTCCTTGTGAGTTAAATATAATAACAGATAATCGCTCATACAGATAATCAGCTGACTTCTTTTGTAATGCGTTTCTTTGTATAGCCAGCAATCAATCATGATTAATTGCGAGATTAAATTAAAGATTCTTATAGTTAAAAGGATATATTTAATTTTACGTAATGCAAGGTAATACAAATAGTCTGTAACAATGTTTTTACAATTCTTCGATTTCACAGATTCTGGATAAGAAAGCATGGCGTATCGCGAGGAATTTCGCATTGCAGCATGGCAGAAATGCGCTTTGCTGGGACAATGTGCACATCCATGTTCATTCTTTTATTTCTAGATACGGGAGACGAACCTTTTTGACGGTGGCGACGTCTCTGTCTGCAGTCAGTGGCTTGATACATTCCTTCTCCGTGAATTATTGGATGTTTCTCGCATTCGAATTCCTCGATGCCAGCATGGCGGCTGGAATTTACAGCGCGGGATTTATTTTAGGTGCGTTAATAACGGGACAATAAATATGCTCGGGGAGAGCAAAAAATATATGCGACACCTGTAAGCGTTATGTCGTTCCTGCCCTATTACGAGTGTTCGCGGGTGGCGAAGCAAATTCTCGATGCAATGCTCTTTACTCACGTTTGGAATGCAAATACGCGACACGCATAACGCAGATATTTTCGAGTTATTTATTCTGGATTTACCACGTATTTATTTAGTCGTTTATTAAAATTGTAGTTGTAGCTTTATGCGACATGCATTTAGATTCCTATGAAAATATATTCAGTGACAAAACATTCTCGGGAAATATAATACTAACAAGCCATATGAAAGATAATGAGTTTTCACTCAAAAATTGTTCGAGGTGATACTTGCGGAAAATAAAAAGATAGAAAAGAAATATTGCACTTTTCTTAATGTATTATACATGCGGAACGACTTGAAAATACCTTTATTCTTCAAACCAGGGATTAATATTTCGATAATATTTATCGCAGTTTATGAGATTTTTTTTATTAAACCGTCGATTAAATTTATCGATTGTAGATTATATCAAGAAAATCGAAATTTTTTAATATCTTATATATCGCAGAATTTTTGAATCACCGACGCACTTGTGTCGATCGCACGAATACATTTTTCTACATCCGCTGTCGTATTAGTTATTACCGATAAATTGCATATTACATAAGAATCACGTATTATAAGATATGTATAATTAATTCCACGTTTCTCTTCACACAGTGTAATGCCCTTTCAACAAAACTTACGCGTTACTACGTTCGCTAATAATTTATACACTTGTTCGCTCTCAGGGTTGGAGACGGCGGGAAAGAAAAACAGAGTCTTTGGAAGTACTATAATCTGCTGCATGTTCGCCGTGGGTGAGATTTTGCTAGGATTGATCGCAAGTTGGCTAAGATCTTGGCGAACGCTTCTTAGGGTAATATACGGGCCAGGACTGTTAGCTGTCTTCCTGCCTCTGCTCATTCCAGAATCAATTAGGTAATTCTTTTTAATCTTAGTCAACACTCGCGTATGTAGTGAGACCTTTTCAATCGATTAGCAAAATTTGAAATCGTCGAACATTGTATATCTACAATTTACTGAGGTATGTGCGTGATTGATTCTCCTTCATGGATGTCTACCGGGAATTTAATTAAAAATGACATAATTCATTGTATTAAAATGAATAAAAGACTGAAAGATTTATAGCTAGAATAATTTATTATCTTAACTATTATCTTATCTGCAACTTTTTATAGTAAACAATTAAAAAAATGAATGGAATTGATTAAGGAATCTTTATTTAGACGGTAAAATTTTTTACATTGTATTTTTATCTGCGAAATATATGTACATAATGCCAAGATTAATAAAGAATAATATTTTTTTTTTTAAGAATAAAACATTGTGTTTCTTCTCAAATTTTTAATGCTTCAAATATGCTTTAAACAGTACTATATAAAAAAACATATTTAAAATATATTAAAAACATCAATTAAGCATGTTTTAAACCGTTTAAAACACACGTTTGAAATATGTTTTTTATCAACCTTGCATAATGCCATTTTCAAGGTGGCTGCTGATAAAGAATGAACATAAGAAAGTGGAAAAAATATACCGTAAAATGGCTCGGATGAACGGTCTGCCAGTAACGGACGAGGCCATCAATACGTTTAAAGAAATAAATGTAGATAAGGAGGAAGCGGTATGTCACTTATCTCTTTTTTTTTCCTTACAAATACATAATGTTTAATTATAGATTGAAAAAGTTTTATCTGCAAGTCTACTATTTTCTAACATATAGCTATCGTTCATAATAATATTTTCAGTACAGTCAGTAACTTTTGTATTATTCCGTAAATCATCAATGTAAAACGATGACTTGTGTATGATTCTTACGGCTTCATGGCCATCTCATGATTGATACGATCTTTCAGAAAAGTAAACTGGTGACATCGGACGAAAGGAAACCGATCGTGCAAGTTCTACATAGTTCAGTGATACTCATTCGACTGCTGATTTGCTCGTTCTGCTGGCTCACGAACACGTTCGTTTATTACGGACTGTCGTTGAATTCCGTGGCGTTCGCTGGAGATAAGTACATCAATTTCGTGCTCGTCGCGGTGGTCGAGATACCGGCGTATTGCCTTGCTTGGGTGCTGACCGATCACATTGGCCGTAAACCAACGCTCTCTGGTCCAGTTCATACCGGCAGGTAAAGAGATAAAAAAAATGGAGGTTCTCTTCAGACAAGGATGAGTCCTCGTTTTGTGGCTCATGTTATAAAAAGCCGTTGAATTGCGTTTACGTCAGAGAAATTTTTGCGAGAAAAGAATTTCGGAAATATTTTTTGAAATATTAATGTCAACGATGTGCACCTCGCTGTGTCACATATTCCTTTCATCATCGAGCTATTTAAGTGCTTATCCCATTCATTTTTTAACACAAGAAAATAGAACATGTAACACGAAAATGAGGGAAAAAAATCCTTCCGAAACTATTCGCTATTTCTTTCATGTTCGTTAATGCTCATATACATTTTCGTGTTATACCATGAATGAATACATAAATGAATACGTAAATGTTAGACCAGTATTCCTAGTCAGTTCTTATATTCACAAGATCGCTTAAGTACAGTCTTGAGATATCAGAAACCAATTACAGAACCGTATTAGCAATTTTTACGATGATTACTGAAGACTGTCTTGAAATAAGAATAGACTATGAATACTGATCTTAGTGTCACGTTTCAAAAAACTTCGTTGACACTTTTATTCCCCTTTCTTGTTTCTAAGATCATATGTTTTATCGACAGGAGGAAGAAAAGGCGCGCATTTGAAGCTGTTACTTGAAAAAACTGCGAGATCTTTTTCATTGTTTTTTTTCCTCTTCTCCATGACCCTCCCTCCCCCCCTCCCTTATTTGCACATTGTCCGTGCTGGAATCACAAAGTTTAATCGCAAGAGCGCGCACGAGCGCACGGCGAGGAGCTATAATCGCGCGAAAATATAAGCTGTAAATGTGTGATACGCCGCGTTGCATATTACGTGTGTAATCCACATCCGAGAGCAAAAAGCGCGTTGAGACGACGCTACGTGCCGTCATCGTTCGGCTTAGTCGCGACCGTGTTGTTCATGTAATTATGTCGGTTATAATGGCCACTATGCCATGGCGTGCGATCCCGGTGATTTATCGTTGCTCTGTTTCCAGGATCCTGGAGTTACGGGCCTTTACTTTTATACATGGCTGGAAAGCTGTGTATCACCATGGCGTTCGCTACCGTTTACGTCTTCACGGCGGAGCTGTTCCCGACGACGCTTAGGCATTCCTTGCTCGGAATTTGTAGCATGACAGGCCGTGTCGGATCAATCTTATCGCCGCAAACGCCTCTTTTAGTGAGTCAATAGATATCCATGACAATTAACAGATGTTTTCTGAATTGCTCTTTGATAACACCATGCTGTCGTAAACATTTTTCAGATCTATGAATCTATCAACATTCCTCTATAATTTTAGAAAACTTTTACAGATAATATTTTATTTAAAAATATCATTTACGTATCTTCCCATTTTAAACATGATAAATATGATTTTTATATAAATAATATAAAAATAGTTAATAGTATTTTATATTTCATGAACGAGCTATGCAGTTTATTTCCGTGTTTTGGTACATCATTAAACGCCAATGTTTACCGTAGACTTTGCAGTTTACTTCAGCAGGGCGAGAAATAACCTGATACAGTATCAGATTGCTCCTCGCTCTGATGAAGTGAACGGCAATGTTCACAAGACGTTGGCATTTAACGATGTATCAAGATACAAGAGAATAACTTACAAACCGCGTAACTTCTTTGAAGAAAACACTTAGAAAGCTTTCAAAGTATTATTAAATATATTTTACTTCTCAATCACCATTGAGAAATTCATTGTACAAACTGTAGTTGTCTCAAACGTTTCATTAATTACGTATCCTTATTTACGTTCAGGTACAAATAATGCCGTCACTGCCGCTCATCCTGTTCGGGTCCATGGGCATGATCGCGGGCGTCCTGTCTCTGATTTTCCCAGAAACTTTAGGGACGAAACTTCCGGATACTGTATGGGAGGCAGAGAGGATCGGCAAGTCAAACGAGATTCGCGAAATTCCGGATAGCACGCCACGCCAGAAAAGCAGCGCAGAATGCTAAGACGCGCTAAAGTCTCTCTCTCTCTCTCTCTCTCTCTCTCTCTCTCTCTCTCTGTCTCTATACCGAGAGAACGGTGATAGTTTTTAAAAGTTTACTGACAGCAACGGTCCCGCCAGATAGAGATAAGGGGGTGATCTTCACGAGACTCGACATCTAAAATACGCGGGGCGCACAATTGATGTGGGGAGAGAAACGCAGTGAGATCTCATCGTGCTCGCCGCAACAACGAGCGCAATGCACGCTCGCAGATTTTATCTGTCGGCGATTTGAATAAGCACGGCATATTCCACCCCGTAACTGTTTACCCTCCGCCGCCGCCGCCACCGCCGCCGCACCCGTCGTCATTTGTCTTACTCCCTCGCGTTTATCCGCTCGCGCGCGCACGGAAGAGAAGGATTATAATATCTTCCGGTGAAGTCTCAGTGTTCTCACGGTATCTCGAAATCTTTCGAAATCTCCCCCGACGTGCATGAGCATGCAATTCGCGAGGTGTTAAGTGGAAATAGATCAGATCTCTACCGCGCTAGTTCGTCGCATTCGTATGATATATTTGTATGTCTTCATTATACATTACTTTTCGCTTCCCGAATTATAATACTCGCACTGCATTAATAATTAAAATACCATTCTTAACTCGGGAACAGTCCTGGAGTGTTTTTATACCTCACCGTTTCCTTAGGATAAAGAACTGATTAGTGTTTCAAAAAACTGATTACCTTTATCAATAATTGATGATATTGCATCAATAACTGTCATCAGTTATTGTATAATTAAACAGTTTATTGAAATTAATCAGTTCTTTTTCTTAAAGGTCATTTTAATTTTAACATTATTTAATATTCATAAATAAATGAGATAGTATTCTAAATTAATTTTTAAGATGTTTTGTTTATTTTGAGAAAATAAATAAGCTTGAATATTATATTTTCGGGACATAATTAAATGCAAATTTTATCAATTTTTCTACATTAACATTAATGAATAAATATAAACGCCGTGATCTTTAATGAAAAATATTGTAGAGTATTGTGAATACAAATTTAAAATTATTTTAAAAAGTCCCTAGAGTTATTTGCAAAGATGAGAAGAAATGTTCGATAAACATTCACGAGAACAGGATCAACGCAAGAGTAGTGCTAGGAGAATGTATTCATGAAAAGAAACTTCGAATCTGATAATATCTCGATACATTTAGAATTTTATATGAATTCAAGTTATTTAGTTTATCTTTATGGATCCCAATAGACCTGAAGAAATCAAATTTTCTGTGAAATATAGGAAAGAGACATTTTATCATCATATTCAAATAATCATATTATAATTGTTTTCATTTTAAAAACTATCTTAATCAAGTGTATTTTATATTAAATTTAAATTAATTCATTAAATCATTTATATCATTGATTTGAATGACTAAAAAAAATAAAAACTTATAAAAAAAGAAACAAAATGTGAACTCACATTACCACCTTTTCCTCTAAGAAGTCAAAAACATTCGATAATATACAATATGTTATTAATAATATGTTGTTAATAATATCAATTTTTAATTGGAGTGTAAAAATACCTCAGATGATCATTTACGTGAAAAAAATGAAAACTATTTTCGGGTTAAAAATGGATCGCGGCTCATTTCATCCAATTGTAAGAAAGATTGCAGCACGTAGAACAAATATGATAAAGATGTGTGAAGAGAAATGCAAATTTCATCATTCCGTATGTTTTACGCCAGGATTTGCTTCGCATGTGGACCGTCATTGCACGTCTGTCAACGTAAAATATTCGCGAAATACCAAATGTCTACCGTCTATTTTATATAGCGTAGTTTGACCGTTCAGTATATGACACGAGTTTTATTTTTACTCTGAACTCTTGATATTTTTATCCTGTAATTCACTGATGACATGACGTAAATTATCCATTGCTGATTCATTGTGATAATTTATAATAGTTTTAATTATTCTGACGAGGTGAGTGTGCATGTGTTAAGTGTATCTAATATATGTTTTAGTTGTTTTAGTATTATTGCGATTTCTTATACGCGCGTACATACATATGAAAATAATGGCATATATCAGTGATGTGCAATCCACTAAATTGGTTTTCTGCGGTCCGCCGGACCTCGTAAAAATATATAATTATACTGAAAAAAATACTGTGGTGACTCGCCACCAGAGATCCAACGCGACTCGCTCAGATTCTCATGAACCACAATTCACACGAATTCACTTTAAATAAGACATCGATTCAAATTCACTCCAGACTAAGGTAGGCAGATTCTAATCGCCTTACTGATGAGTCTAGTAGTGTGGAAATATACATTTTTTATTTTATGTAAATTATATCAAAATAATTGTTACGCGTAAGTTTAAGATTTCAATCAGTTTGAGATACATTTTTAAAAAATCTTTGAGAATTTATATTGAAAAGTGTAGCTATTTCGTAAATAAATGACATGTTTGTAAAGTATTTAATTAACTTTTATAAACGATCTTTATTATTATGTACACATCTTTATTAAAATGTACAGTCGTGTAAAATAAAAACGATTATTAAAATAAATAATTAGAATAAATAGATAAAAGATTTTATTTTAATGTTAATAAAGAAATTATATTATAGGTATATACATTTGTAATTTCCTTATTAATATTATGATAAATATAATTATGATATATATGTACGCTATCAAAATAGATATTATGCGGCCCATAAAATTTTATTTATCCTTGAAAATAATCCTCAATTTAAGAAAGATTGCACATCTCTGGTATATGCAATGAGAATATAAAAAGTATTACAAATTAGAGCAAGTTTCTTAATAATTAAAACTTTTGTTTCTTTTTTAGACTAAAAAGAAAACAAGTAGTATCAAAGTATTATACATCAATAAGTATTACGGATTTTAAAAGGATGTTGGTATCGCATTAATGTAATGTGAGCGTGAAAAATTATGTAATGTATCTTATTGCATAAAACTTGTGTAAAATATTGTTAGGAAAAATGAATATTCACCGAATGAATTACCGAATCATTTTACTGAATAATGTGATGTGCGCACAAATGTCAAAAATACAAATAGATTATTCTTTATGCGAAAATGTAGCACTTTTATTCCCTTATATAGTTTAAAGTAGATCTTAGTTTGACTATTTTAATCTATAGGGATATACAATTTTAAATTGAATCTACATAAATTTTCTTTATGTCTGATAAGTTCAATATTTTTAAATAGACAGATTTTCAGGATTGACACTATTTTAAATCTTTTCCAAAGAGCATATCATCGACTAAGTAGAGCTCCTTTTTTCTTTTCTTTTCTTTTCTTTTGTTATATATAAACATAAAATTTGTCTTGACAAAATTATCTCACAGATTTATTTGATAATTAGATATCTGAAATATCAATGATAATTTTTCTGTATGTCAAAAATTCACGATTAAAAAATATGTAATTATCTGTAATTATCGGGTATGTATGTAATAACGCAATTCTCATATTACGAACACATATTACGTTCTATCCAAGCAACAACATTAGTGGCTACGTTTGCTTATTCCATCACAATTATCGGAGATCACACTAGATCCGATCGGTTCACTTTGCATTCCACTGGCTTGAGAAATCGGTCATGTTTACGATTTGCCGACCCACAGAGCCGAGCTCCTCGATTCAGCTACTCTATAGATCCAGGGATACGCGTCTCTGTGTCGGATGGATCTTTAGCGCTACGTATCATGCATGTGCACTTATGTACAAACCTTTATCCTAGATTAACTACACCATGCTCAGTCCGGTTTCGATCCCGTGCATGTAGATACGTGCTTTACCGAGCAGTCCGAGCACACTTCCTATTTCGCTACGCGAAAAAGATGTCGTTATATAGAGATGTCACTATAGAGATGTCACGATCAAATAACACTGCAATGGTATAAAAAAATAAAAAGAAAGGAACATATCGATAATTAGATGCTTTTTGCAGTCGGTGATATTTTACGTAAATCGACAAGAGCAAAATCCCTGTCGGTTGACGACGTTATTAGCAAACTTCCGTTGCAAACTCCTCTTTGCATCTTCATGCATTTTCATCGTTAAGCATTTGCATTTGACCGACATAATCGCGCCGTTCTTAATTTATGAGTGAAAATCGTGTGTAATTAATGCCTGTTTTGAAGGCAGCAATTGAGAATCTCTTCTTCTGATATGTTTTCTTCCAAGAATAGATATTTTCGAGAGACGGAAAGAGACATTTTACATTCGTCTTGTTACTTTCATTTTTTTATTTTTTTATAACAGATTATCTGTGGCGCTGATAAAGAGCAAAGGGTAAGTGCGCGTTAACACGCGCAACCAGAATAGAAACAATTTTGTAGCTCTAACGCGATCCACTTTTTTCCGAGAGAGATCTCACAAGTACGCATTGTTACGTTGTTAATATCAGGCGACCAGCTGGTGGAAAAGCGCAATTTTTGTTCAGTGGGTAGCGGTGTTTAATGGAAACTGCACCAAATTTTTTTCACCGAACCTTTAACGACAAACAATTGCGTCGTCACCTGTCAAACACATGCCACGCACTGCGAGTGTGAACGATTGAACCGATATTACGTAAGAGTTATACGCATTAACAAAAAGGAATTGCCGCACGATATATTGTTTCATTAACTTTATCAACACTTTAATGCAATAATGTATATCACGTCAATTTTTCTTATATTTAACGTGTACATAAATAAATGTCTAATATAATATTATATTTAATATATATTTAACATTTTATAAAATATAATTAATAAATTAAGTTTGATTAAAATAATTAATTCAATTTTGTATAATTTAATATAACAAAAATAATATTCTATTTATATAATCTGTATATATTAAGATTATAATGCTAAGATCATAATATTTCAGGTACGTGCAATGTATTTTTCAATATTGTATATTTGTATATTTTTTAAAAGATTATAGTCACATACATGATTGTAATTCTATACGTAACTTTGTACGTGCACAGCTAATAAACTACTATTTCACTTTTTAATATTCGTATTAATAATAAATTTACGTAAGAGTAGTATTAATCGATTTAATATATAAATTGTCAAAACACACATAGCCGCTCACATTTTTTACAGGCGCTGAAATTTGAGAAAGATGTGTTAAGGTTTGTCTTCCTCCTTTTAAAGAAAAATTTTAGAAAAATAAATAATATAATGGTACATATATGTATCTTTTGCATAAATGGATTTAATAATAATTTAACAGAAAACTGATCTCAGAGAAAGCTTTGAATTATTATTCACATTTCAAAACATTACGAGATATCATGAAAAGGTTTGAGTAAGTTATAAACAAAAGAGGATGCTTGATAATGTGAACAATATGTTGTATTAAATGCTACATAGATAAAACAATAGCAGCTTTCCTTCGATTGGTAATGCATATAGATGACAGCCGCGTGTTGTCCGAACGACACTTTGATAAAAATGCCTTCGTAGCCGATGCTTCATTCGGAATAGATTGTGAAATACAAACTGGGCCGTAAAAGAATCCCGATCGAATGCATATCGACCGAATCGCCAGGGCTTGCGGAATGGATTAGAACTGTCGGGTTGAAATCGAAGCTGTCACTGCACACAC